CTGTGTGGATTTTTCTGAAAAACGTTGATTGAAGGCACAGAAAATATAAATTTTCAGTTACCACGGACTCTTCAGCTAAGGAAATATCTAACCTTAGGCGGCCATTTTCTCACAAATTTTACCTCTGAAAACAGATGACCCCCACCTCCTTCTTTCGTAAATACCTCAACTTGTATTCAAGGTAAATGGATATTTTTTTTTCATCCAAATAAAGACAAGTGAACAAGCTTTAAGGTGATACCAATAACTCTACATGCCCAAAAATTGACGAGAGCCTGATTCCACCACGCTGCCTCACATATCTTGACAGCGTTCCGAATAATCTAACAAGTTTGATGGAGCAGGTAAAACATCTATTAGTTGTTAACCTCGTGGTCTTAGTGACTCAAAACGGCCAAAAATATCAGATAGAATTTTGTGCTTCTAAGGTAGCGACGAATCTCTACGCATGTCCCCAGTGTTCTGTCCCAGAAAATTCTGCAAGGAGGACAAGGGCCGCTCCCCAAATACTTGCCCAAGTCGTCTGTGCGTGTCCGATTGCTGGGACGGTCCAAGCTGGGGCGGGAACTCACGTCTGCGGACATTTGTCTTTTGATGTGGAAGTGAGATTCACTCTTCTTCTTCTTCTTCTTCTTCTTCTTCTTCTTCTTCTTCTTCTTCTTCTTCTTCTTCTTCTTCTTCTTTGCTACCATCATCGTTGTCGTCGTCGTCGTCATCATCATCATCATCATCATCATCATTGTAAAAAAAAAAAGTACTGTAGGAATGAAGAGTTATCGTCAACAGTTTTAGTTTTAGTAAGAGTTTTACTGCACTTGCAACACAATAAGGTCATAACAATAGATTACGTGTTTCAAGAGAGTACCATACACAAAAAAGAAGGAAGGGAGATAAGAGGACGACAGATGTTTAAGAGGAAAGAAGGAGCAAATCACACCAGAGCACCCGCCAACCACCCACATGATCACCATCATCATCATCATCATCATCATCATCATCATCATCATCATCATCATCATCATCATCGTCATCATCATCACCATCATCATCATCGGGCGGGGCATGTGATATCGATGTTGAAATTCAGAATAGAACTTAAAGCATTGTTAATTTTGCACTGAAAAATAATCTTAAATAAAAGATTGGCTTTGCAGAAGGACCTGATGTTTCGCCTTTACGACTTCATCCGCGTACTTGTCTGTTTGCGTGTTCAGATTCGGCCCGGTCCTGTTCACCATCTCGGAAGGCAAGAACAGCCTAGTAACCACCTTTGAGTTCATCAGTTCTGCCTATAGGTGAGAAAAAGGAGAGCTTGGGGTATTGGGGTTTGGGTGATTCTGCCTATAGGTGAGAAAAATGAGAGCTTGGGG